TATCTCTGAATCGCACTAAAGTGAAAAGCAATAAAATGAGATATGTCTGTACTACATTTTCTTACTAAGGAATTTTAAAATCTGAAAAGCATATAATTAATTGTTATTATTAAATTATTGTAGTTCTTTCATTGAAAAGATACGAGTTTTTCTCCTTTTTGTTATTCAGGCATTTCTCACTCCTATCCTCTTTCTAAAACCCGAATTTTAAGAAGGAGTCACAAAAAATTTTAATGCCTGTTCTCACACACACCAAAAAAAAAAAATTAGAGCAATAATTGCATGTACTATAAAGTACATCTTTCCTGTTTATAAATATAATAAACATAATAGAAGTATCTCTTACTACATTATATGCATTCTATTTGATCCTATTTGATTCTTTCCAAGCCCTTAGTAGTAACCAACAAAGTTTATTTCAAACCCCAGTCTGCAATTAATAAAATGGGAAATAGAAATTCAATTATAAGTGAATTTTTCTGAAAATGCCAAAAACTATTAAAAATTCAGTTCAGATAATAGTGTTGTTTTGGTGGTGGTAGATGCAGCACATACAAAAATTTCTTACTGCAAACAGAACATGTTGAAGAATAGGCATGGATCTAGACGGTTACCATCACTAGAACTGTTGGCCAGGAGAATCAAGCTGAGTAATAAGTATAGGTAGGATTCTGTGATAAAAAAAAAAAGTTTGAAAGAATATAATGATAAAGACCAAGAAGTAGGATCAACAACAAAAAAGAAACAAACCAATTCTAAATGATAACAAGGTCCAATGTAAAGATGTACTTGAGGGTACAAATGAGAGAAAATTTAGACAGAAGGTGATCATCAGGAAAGTGAAAAGACAAGCCACAGGACTGCAGAAAATGTTTATAAACCATATATCTGATAAGAGACTTGTATTCGAATATAAACAACTGTGCAACTTAAAACAAAAGGATACATAGGCCAAGTAAACAAAGACCTTAGTAGACATTTCTCCACACAAAAATATATAGTCAGTAAGCATAGGAAAAGATCCTCAACCTCATTAGCCATGAGGGAAATACAAATCCAAACCACAATGAGACACTACTTCCTTCATACCCAGATGGCTACAACCAAAAGAAAGGTAATAAAAGTATGGTGAGGATGTGGGAAAAGTGGAACTCTCATACAGCACAGGTGGGAATATACAATGGTATAAACAGTCTGGCAATTTTTCAAAAAGTTAAATACAGAGTTACCATATGGCCCCACAATTCTACACCCAGATATACATCCATGAGAAATACGAACATGAGTATCTGTCCACACAAAAACTTGTAGATGAATGTTGGTAGCAACAATATTCATAACTGTCAAAAGTACAAATAATCCAAATGTCCACCATCTGATGAGTGGATGAACAAAATGTGGTATATACACACAATGGAATATTACTTGACAAAAAGAGAAATGAAGTATGGATACAAGCTACAATGGACAAACTTCTAAAACAGTACACTAAGTGAAAGAATTTAGTCACAAAGACTGTATTTGAGTGTCCAGAATAGGCAAATCCATAGTGACAAAAAAAGATTAGTGTTGCCTAGGGCTGGGGCATAAATGGCTCAGGAGTGATGGCTAAAGAATGTGGGACTTTTTAGGGTAATGACAAGACTCTAAAATAAGACTGTGGTGATGGACACAGAACTCTGAATACACTATATGCTTAATACTATATACCTGAAAGGGTGAATGTATGGTATGTGAATTATAGCTCAATAAGCTGTTTCCAGAGAGGACAAAAAGAATGAGAAGATGGAGAGAAACCAAGGTAAGACATTTCTGGTTTGAGAGGGAAAAGGCGGAGAGGGGGAGGCTAGGCAAAGACATGAATGTGGAAAAATGCAATTTTTTGATGATCAAGAAGACAAGTATAGTGTTAAATCCAAAGGAAAAGACTGATTTTAACTCGTGGTAAAGCACTTGTTATCAAAGGACAAAGAATAATGTAGGAGAGTATTATCAAAATAGGACAGAGAGAAAAGCCACTAGAGTGAAGAATAGGAAAAAACACTGGATGTTGTGGGTTAGTAATGATCAGTAATAAGAGAGCAAGATGTAGGAAGGTAGGCTAGAGACACAAATTATTATAGAAGTTGAGGCAGGAACATTGAAGAGAAGTACTAGTACTTGGCTTATAGTCAACTTACAACAGAAGAACAATGGTTCTTCTTCCACACATTATCAGAATCTAAGTCTGAAAGACTCAAGAATGTACACAGCCTACATAATCACTTAATTAATGTAGTAAATGAGAACTAGTTATAATGTAAAGCAAAGGATCACATGCTTAAACCAAACATATTAAACAAAGTTTAACAGTGCTGACTATTGTCTATTAATAGCCCATAGATGCAAGATAATAAAATGCTAAACCTTACACCTTAAATATATATTTCCTGGATCTTAATAAGGTAGAAATTTTGGAGACAATACTACAAACACAACATCAAGAATAAAATGAACAAAATAAGACTTTGGCTAGCAAAAGAAAAACATAAGATAACTGGGCATTTAGAAATATGGCTTATTAAAATTATTTTAGCTGATCCTTTTAATTCATCTATTATAAATTTTACAGCTGCTTTGATAAAAATAAACTTCCTCGGCAGAGGTGAAAACATCCTAACAGCATTCCACTTTCCTCAATTCCCCTAATCTGCAATAAATCAGTTCTACACATTTTAGGTTTCTCAATGATAGACCATCAGGTTATGAATCACATATTTTATAGTTACTTGTTTGATTGTTTTTAATACCTGTGACTGCATTCTGTTAAGGCAAATAGTTTCAGAATAAGAAATTTTAAATAAAATGTTTTTTAATAGCACAGTCCACTTGATAAATTTAGAAAAGGAAATAGGGGATTAGTTGGGTTTAAAAAAAGGAAAATTATAAAATTAATTAAAATCACCACCTGCTTATTGATATAAATTGTGGAGCTAGGCCTGCAGACACAAAATAATTTTAAAATAAAAAAAGGTAGATTATTATTGTGAGACAATAAACCAAAAAAACCCTGGAGAGAACATTACAGGAAACAGAAATTTGACGAGCAAAAAATTAAATTAGATAAATTCACAGTGCTAAATAGTATCAGCAATAAAGGCCTCACTGTAGTAGGCCTCGTGGAAAAAGATCTAAAAGAAAAGATTTTATCCAAAAAGTAACTCCACATTAAATAATGGCCATATGAAAAGCAATACCACAATGTCTTGGTCCATTTGGACTGCTATAACAAAATATCACAATCTGGGGTAGCCTATAAACAATAGAAATTTATTTCTCACTGTTCTGGATGGAGGCTGGGTGCCAACATGGTCAGGTTCTGGTGAGAACTTCTTCCAGGTTGCAGACTGCTGACTTCTCTCTGTGTCTTTACATAGTATAAGGCGCAAGGAAGCTCTCTCTGGCCTCTTTTAATTTCATTCATGAGGACTCTACCCTCCATCATCGAATCACCTCTCAAAGACCCCACTTTCTAATACCATTACACTAGGCCTTAGAATTTTCAAAAGATGAATTATGGTGGAAACAAACATTCAGACTATAACACATATCTAGTCTTCTTAAATATTCATCAATTCAAAAACTTTTTTTGAATGAAACAAAATTTATATAACATAAAATGTATCCTTTTTAAAGCATACAATTAAGTGGAATTGAGCATATTCACAATCATAAAAACACCACCACAATCTAATTTCAGTACATTTTCACTACCCGCAAAGAAACTCATATCCATTAGCAATCACTTCCATTCCTCCTTCTCCTCACACTCTGGACCATTAATCTACTATATGTCCCTGCAGATTTGCCTGCTCTAAGCATTTCATATAAATGAAATCATAAAATGTGACTTTTTACATCTGGCTTCTACTTCTTAGCATGCTGTTTTCAAGGTTCTCCACATTGTAGCATGTATCAGTACTGCATTCCTTTTTATGTCTGAATATTCCATTGTACATTCATCGGTTATAGACATTTGTGTCGTTTCCGCAATCAAAATTAATGCTATGTGATCTCTTTTACTAGTATATGTGGAATCTAAAAATGTCAACTACATGGAACAATGGTTACCAGAGCCAAGGTGGTAGGGATAAATGAGAGATGTTGGTCAAAGGTTACAAAGTTATGTAAGATGAATGAGTTCTACAAATCTAATGTACAGCATGATAACTACAATCAGCAATAATGTATTATATACTGGTTTTGCTAAGAGTACATTTCAGGTACTCTCACCACAGGAAAAGATTTGTAACTATGTGAGGAGACATAGATATTAATTAGTTTGACTATAGTAACTATTCCACGATGCATTTCAAAACATCATGTTGCACACAAAAAGGATAATTTGCTTACCAACTCTTAAAGTATTATGATCAAGTACTAGTATTTTAATCCATTCTACCAGCATAATCAAACATATTGTATTTGTGCTTGATTTATTTATTATTTCAAACATACACATTGATCCCCTCAAAAGTTATCTATGTAAGGCCAAAGCATCAATTGTACAAGGAGTAGGTAAAAAATAATCTCTTGCAATTATAAAATACTAGAGACCCAGAGCGCAAAATCGCATGGGACCCAGACCCGCCGCGCCAGCAGGACTCCAGACCCGCAGTGTGCGAGTACCTCGCCGCCGCGAGCCACCACACCGCATGAGCCTCGAGTCCTACCACGCCACGTGAGCAGCAAGCAGCTCGTGGGCTGGGTGGAGGGACCAAGAGGTGCTCCATGCACCTCCTGGGGACTGGTCGTTTGGTAGTTACAGTGTTACCACGTTACAGCCACTGGCCTTTTATAATATAGATATCCAGAAATTGGTGGCAGGGAACACAACTAAATGGCTAAATACACTACACAATTTAAGTTGAGCAAGTTATAAATATAGATTTGAAAGATAAAATATTAGTCACAACTAATAAGAATTTTCCATATACTTGTCAAGAAGACTGTGCTCTTACCTATAGTTTGGAAAACTTCATTCATCAAAGCTTCATTCACTACTGAAGAGCTGACACTTCCAATATGAGACCAACTTTGATATACTGCTTGCAGCAAAAGTGTCTGTGCTCTTGTAGCTTGAATTGTAAGATTTGGAAGTTCAAATATACCTTCAGTTATAGCAATCTGAGATCTTTTAGTCCTGCATAAGAAAATAGAAATAATAACAATATAGTAAATAGTATTTACAAACAACAACACACAAAATGAATTAAGTTGCGAGGGAAGAATTGGTATACATTAGAAATACTTTAAAAATAGAATTATCAAATAGATACACAATTCTATTATCAAATAGATACACAATTCTACTAACTTTAAACAAGTTTCACTATTTCAGATCTTACATAATAAAATATATAGATACAAAATAAAGTAATTCATACACATAAATTCTGCTCATGCAATTATATTTTGCAAAAGTCAATCATCAGAAAAAAAACAGTGAAATAATAATATTTAACACTCAAAGAGAATTTACTAGCAGATATATAATGTTCTAAATGTCTTCTATCAACTATCTCATTAAATTCTTCCCTAATACTCTTTGAGAGAGGTTTTATCATTATCTTAATTTTTAAGATGGAAAAATAAGACACAAAGAGATAAATTATGGTATCAAATACACAGCTATTCTGAGATTCCATCTAAACTTGACTCTGAAAAGTTCAATTTCTGGAATCTATAATAATAAAAGTATAATATGCAAATCGACCTAATGGCCAAACAGCAGAATGACTGTCCAGACAACCACTGTATGACACGCACTGGCGCCAGGCCAGCCAAGGCGGGTGCAATGCAATTGGTCGGGGGGCCCGCCATCGCCCCACAATCGTCCCACAGAGAGAGGCCCAGGCCACCGGTCAGCAGGGCGATTAATCGGGGGGCTCCGTGATCACCCTGCAGAGGGAGGCCCAGGCCACCCTCTGCGAGGCAATCGATGGTGGGGGGAGGGCCTCCGCAATGGATCACCCCACAGAGGGAAGCCGAGGCCACTGACCGGGGTGCTATTGATAGGGAGGGGGGGCTCTGCTATCATCCCAAAGACAAAGGCCCAGGCCACCCTCTGCAAGGTGATCAATCAGGGGGCTCCGCGGAACCAGGGAACTGGGGGGTGGGGGGGTGGCGGACGCAGGCAGCGCCAGGCCAAGGCGGGTGCAGGTGGAGAAGAGGGCTGCAGGTTGAGAAGCAGCCGGGACCATGAGGCAGCCAGAGCTGCAAGGGCTCCAGCAGCCGGGGCTGCAAATGCCTACCCTTGCACGAATTTTGTGCATTGAGCCTCTAGTTTATTTATATTTGTAAATCTTTAATCTTTCTTTCAAAGTTTTTCATTTAAGGTACTAGAGGTAGGACATGAAATTATAAAAAAAATCTGAATTCCAATTCTTGCTAAATCAGAAATGACCCATAACATGAAAAGACTCTAAGCCTCGCCAGAAAAAGGGAAATTCAAATTAAAATAATATAAGACTCTTAACCTCTCAGATGAGAAAAACCTCTCAGGCTCATCTAACACATCTCCTAGGAATCTACCTGAAAGGAACTCTCATGAGTGTGCAAGAATACTTAGACCATGATAGTGTTTGCAGCATGATTTAAAATAGCCTACACCTGAGACAATCTTACTGTTAGATTCTGGCACATTAACTTCATGTAAAACTACTCAGATATTAAAATAATAAAGGTCACTAAATCTACTCACATGAAAGGCTATCATGAAATATGGGTGAGTAAAATATAAATATAGGGTATCCCAAAACAATATATGCACATACTTTGAATAATAAAGGCAGTGTTTATTAAAATACATTTCATTTTCAAAATTGAGCTCTCAGCTGTTGAAGTGTGTACACATTTTTTGGGACATTCTGTAGTTGCCTTTTAAGACAGTTCCTTACAATGGCAGGAAGTGGTGGGTTACCCACACATCATAAAATCATATCTGCATGGGTTTGAATGTTGAAATTAAAAGTTCAGGATAGAACTATTTATAGTAGCCATTCCTGGAAGAGGAGAATAGTGGATGCATTTTGTGTGTTCTTCTCCTTGTTTTCCCTATGTTAATGTCTATATTGCTTTACTTGGTCCCTTGAGAAATCTAGACTATTATTTTTTGAAAAATCTGTATTATTCTTTTTTCAAACATTTTAAAGAAATTACAATATTTCAAGAAGGAACTAAGAAAATCACAAACTATGTCAATATGAAGTTAACTTCATAAAACATCTTTAAAATGTGAAGATAATATATTAGCATTATTAATGTATCCACCTACCTCCTCTCCCTGTCCTAACATTGGATTATCAAATAATTTCTTACTTCCTCATTGAAATAAAACTTCACTTAAAACTATCCTACAGAGAAATGACATCAGCAAAAAAGGCAGAATAAGGTATACCAAAAATCTGTCCCTCCATAAAAGCAGCAAAAAGATGTCAAAAGCTGTCAAGAATATTTTTCAGAATTCTGAAAACTAACCAAAAGCCTGCAGCAAAAAAGGTAAACTCTTAAACATAAAAAAAAAAAATTTAATTAAAAAGCCCAGCTACTAGTAATCTCAGTAGTAACAGTGAGCTTTGTAGTATTTTTACTTTTCCATGTTGCGTCCTCTGCCCAGAAGCTCAGCAGTGGCATTGAATAGCCCACATTCCTTATCTCTCTTAATTCAGGACTCTTCCAAACAGCTACGCAGGGGTATATATAGAAAACATTTAGAGGACTAATTACATTAGTCCATGCTGCCTGGGACAATGTGTAAGAGGAAGGGCAAACAAAATGAATGAACCAAAATCTTGGGAGGAAAGTAATAAAAAAAAATTGGGTAATAAAAAAATTGGGCAATAAAAAAATTGAAAAGCTCCAACATCTTCCAAAGACTACAGAAGGCCATACACATGTTCAGGACTGTGCAGTTGCAGAGGGAAAACTACAAAAAGGTCTTAAGCTCCCAACCCTGGCTGACTTCCAGGGTTTACCCAACAAGAAAAGAAGGCAGAGTTGTAAACGTCTGGTTGAGTTTTGAAGGCATTCCCCATTAGAAATGATGGAGGCCACACAGCAATAGGATGAAACAGTAAACGTGCTGAAATAAAAAACTATTGTAATAATAACAATTCTGGCAAAGCTATCTTTCAAAAATGAAGTGGAAATCTCCCAAGAAAGAAAAGTCCAGGACCAGAAGCCTTCACTGATAAATTCTAACAAACATTTAAAGAAGAATAAATACCAATCCTTTTTAACCTGTGCAATAAATATAAGAAAAACATGTCTAATTCTTTTCATAAAGCCAGTATTATCCTGATACCAAAAGCAGACAAAGACAACATAAGAATTCTTTATACAACCCAATTAAAAAGTGGGCATGGACCTAAATTGACACTTCTCCAAAAAGGACTTACAGATGGCCAAGAGACCTATGAAAAAAGGCTCAATGCCACTATCTATCAGAGAGATGGAAAGTAGAACGAGAATGAGGTATCACCTCACACCTATCAGAATGGCTACTACCATCAAAAAATCAACAAGTGGCAAGTGCTTGTGTGGTTGTGGAGAAAAGGGAATCCTAGTACACTGCTTGGTGGGAATGCAGACTGATGCAGCCACTGTGGAAGACAGTATGGAGTTTCCTCAAGAAATAAAAAATGGAACTGCCATTTGACCCAGTAATCCCATTGCTAGGAAAATATCCTAAGAATCCAGAAGCACCTATCAGAAAGATTATATGCAACCCCATGTTCATATCAGCGCTATTTACAATGGCTAAGACTTGAAAACAGCCCAATTGCCTATCAGTAGATGAGTAGGTAAAGAAAGAGGTGGTACATTTACACAATGGAAAACTATGCAGCAGTAAAAAAGAAGGAACTCTGACCATTTGAGACAGCATGGAGGGACCTGAAGAGTATCATACTAAGCAAAATAAGCCAGTCTGAGAAAGACAAGTACCACATGATCTCACTTATATGTGGAATCTAATGAACAAAATAAACTAACGAACAAAATAGATCCAGAGACATGGAAGTATGCAAGTATGCAACAGACTGATGAATCTCAGAGGGAAGGGGGAGATTAACCAAAAAACTTATATGCGTATATCCGTAACCCATGGACACAGGCAATAGTGCAGTGAAGGCCTGCGGAGTAGGTAAGTGCAGGGTAGAGGGAGTCTATGGTGGGAGAAAAGAAGATATCTGTAATACTTTCAACAATAAAGATAAATTTAAAAATAAAAGGCAACATAAGAAACCTATAGACCAATATCCTTTGGGAACATAGGTAAAAAGTACTATTTGATACTAACAAATCAAATTCAGAAGAATATTAAAAGCATTATACACCATAACAGCTAGAATTTGTCCTGGAAATAAAAGAGTAGTTCAACTTTTAAAAATCAATGCAATACACCGTATTTATAAAATAAAGGGGAGAAAAACATGTTCATCTCAATCGACAGAGAAAAAGCATTTGACAAAATCCAATACTCTTTCATGATAAAAACACTCAACACACTAGACATTAAGGAAACTTCTTCCACATGACATTGAACATTCACAAAACACACACAACTAACATCCTTAGTGGTTATAGACTGAAAGCTTTCTCTCCAAGATCAGGAGGAAGACAAGGATATCTGCTCTTTCCATTCCATTCAACATTATAGTAGAGTTTCTAGTTAAGAAATGAGGCAAAAAAATAAGTAAAAGACATTCAAACTAGAAAGGAAAAAAATAAAACTATCACTACTCACAGATAACATAACCTTATACATTGAAAACCCTAAAGGAAACACACACCACTGTAGCTAATAAGACCAATCAAATTGCAAGGTGCAACATAATTATACAAAAATAAGTTTTCTATCTATATACACTCACAAATAATCTGAAAGGAAAATTAAGAAAATGGTATTTATAACAGCAACAAAATGGGGAAAAATGCTTGGGGATAATTTAACAAAGAAGTGCAAGACTTTCAGATTGAAAACTACAAAGCATTGTTGAAACACATTAAAGAAGGAATCTAAATAATGGTAAGATAGCCCATGTTTATGGATTAGAAATTTTAATATTAAGATGGCAATACTTGCCAAATCAATATATAGATCCAATACAATCCTTATCAAAATCCCAGCTATTTTGAATA